TCACATGCCAGGTGAAGACGTTTGGATTTTGACCTTATTTTGCGCTGTTTTTCATGCCTGCTCAAAGGATACCCTACATACTATACCCTGTCAACGCTACAGCTAGAACAGAGGCGAATAAGGTGGTTTAAAAAGTCCATTCTTTTCGAATTTTTTGACCTTTTTTTGACATTCCCAGAGTACCGTTTAGCAAAAATGAACCCCATCTGTGTGGTCCTTGCATGGACCCCTACAACATGCAACAAACCGTTTTGAAAAAGCTCACCACGGCCTGAACGACCTCCCTTGTAAGAGCCATAATTGCGCGGTGGGGAGGAGGTCGCATCCTCACTCCGAGAGAAATTTCTCCGAACTGCGAGGGAAAACTTTCCGGTTGTAGCTCTTAGTTCTTAGTTCGTAGTCTTCTAGCTCGTAGATCCCTCGTGAGAGGCGAGTAGCACTCACGCATCACACATATAAGAGCAGCAGTCCAAACTCGATTGATAGCCCAGACCTCCATCCAAAGTTTCATGAGAATTTGAAACCACTCACTGGTTAATAACATTTTTTCCTCAACACTCAGCAAGAAACAAAATGACGAAAAAAAAAACACTTTTTTCTAAATGACCTTATTTATTAATTATTGTGTAGCATATTTCCTACTGGTAGGCGCATAGGTTGCAGGAGCCCGAAGCGACAAAGTCCAACTGAAAATGTGGCGACATAAATTGCTGCACCGTAGCAGACAAACGAACCACTGTGCCTTTGACCGAATTATACCACAGAAAGTGTTCGTATAAGTCTTCTCACTTTTTCGTTCTGCTGTGATGATGCGCAAAGTTGATAATGGAAGAAGATGTGGTTGCAATATCAGAATAGGATAGACACCGAAGTTGAAGACCTTAGTGCTGAAGAACCACTTGCCTGTACTGAAACATGCAGTCAGCTCTCTGTACACAACTGTCTATGTCCTCTAGCGACTTTCGCTGCCACCTCAATCTGTTTTGAAAAGTACAACTATAGAATTTTGAATTATTATGAAACTAGTTCTCTCGATCAGGCTCCTAAACATGGAACGAATTGCATAACATGATTCGAAAACTGAGCGGCGAATTGAAATGCCCGGAAAAGGGAGGTCCAAAGAGTCTTTGTAGCCTTCAGAGATTGAAGGTGGAGTACTCCACTGTTTGCGGCAATACGTCGGCAACACACTCATCGGAAGCTAGTGGTGTTCACGCCCTTCCATTTCACCCACTTTGAACGCAGTTATGACAGTGCGGCTTCTCTGGCAGATTACCCTGTCAATGTTCCACAAACCGTTAGCGGTATCGTATGCACAGGAAGGCTCTTGTGGCACTCACAAAAGATCGAGAGCTTCCCGACTCAATTTAAGTTTTTTCTGTTCCCCTTTTCTTTAGGTATTCTCCCGCCCCCGTGAATCCTGTCCGCAACCTCAACGGGGTGTAATGGTACCAGTGGCTTATGCGGAAGGTACCGTGTTAGAGCCTGACAAGCTGTGGTCAAGTCATGCGTCAAAAACAGTAACAACTGTGAGCCTCATTCCACTGAACCTGAGCAACCAACAACAG